CAACAACCTACATTATGCAGATTACGCAACCTTGTTTGCTGAAACTGAGGAGGACCTGAAGCTCTTGTTGCAGAAGGCCAAGGACTGTAGTCTTCAATATAGATTGAAGCTCAACATCAAGAAGACAAAGATTCTCATTACTAGGCCAAGTGGCAGCACCATGATATAGGGACAAGAGACTGAGGTTGTTAACAGTTACAGCTTGCTCATATCGACAGTCAGCACTTTTGGCACTGTTGTTGTTGTATACCATAGAGTTGGAACTGACCCATAGCTGATACTCCAGTGGGTTTCAGAAGCAGTTAATCGCACAGGAGGTGACTGCCCATCCTTCGCTCGTGGAGCAACTGGTGGCCTCGAACTGCGTGCCTTCAGGATTGCAGCACCTCTTCTTGCCACTAGGCCACCAGAGCTCCCTACTTTTGGCACCAGCAGTCAGGAAATCAAAAGGCAAATTACATTAGGTAAATCTGCTGTCAGGGACCTTTCCAGAGTACTGAGAAGCAACAATGTCAGTCTAAAGACTAAGGTGTGTCTGATCAAGTCCACATTTTTGCAATTACTTGCTATGCATCAGAGCTGGATAATGACTAAGGAGGATAGAAGAAGAATCAATGCCTTTGAGTTATGGTGCTGGAGAAGAGTCTTGAACATACCATGGAACCTCCAAGAAAACAAATAGGTCTGTCTTGGAGAGAGTGAAACCAAGTTTCTCTTTGAAGGCTAGGATTTTGAAGCTCCATCTCACATACTTTGGGCATATGACCAAGAGAGACTTGTCCTTGGACATCAGTCTTGGAAGGTGAAGGGATGGCACAGGAGAGGAATACCTGAATGAGATGGATTGATACATTAACCAGAGCGATGGGGGTAGGTGTATCTGAGTCAGTGAGACTGGCTCAGGAATGGGAAGGCTTCAGAGTTATTGTACGTAGGATTGTTATGAGTTGCTGGAGACTTGACAGCACATAACAACATGCTCTCCATAGTATGCTCATAAATATTTTTCTCTGTGTGTCTGTATGCGTGTCTGTACATGCATGCATCTTGTCATAACCATAGGAGATGCAATCCTAGGTAATCACCATCACTGATGCTGTGCCTGACTTTTTCTTTGTATTTCTGAGCTGGTATGGTCTGGGTAAGTGCTGAGGAGATCTGAAAAGATGGTATGGAAGAATAATAAAGGGGTGTCCAGAAAGCTTTTTGATCACTGGAAGTAAAATAGAGAAGAGGGCACAGATTATATAGAGCTGGAAAAGCTTTGGTCTTTGTCATCCATTTGTCCCAGATACATAAATTACCACTTCTGCTTCCTAACCTTCTGACTTCCACACTTAAATTTAGAGATGTAATCTCTTTTCCTGACCATCCTCCACTAGAAAATTTTTTCAGACTTCATGAAGTGAGAACTCCAAGGCCACATGGGAGAGGACACATGTCACTCCTTAAAAAGAAAACCAAACAAAAAACCCACTGATGTCAAGTTGGTTCCAGGTCATAGGGGGCCTCAATCAGGTGTCTGAAGCTCTACATCTTTACAGAGGAGACTGCTCATCTTTCTCCCATTGTGCAGGTGCTGGATTTGAACCAATAGTTTATTTAGCAGGCTGATATGTTACATACTATACTATCAGGGTTCCTTAAAAAAAAAAAAAGTATGGAAATTTGGTCACAGGGAAACCAGGAATGGGAAGGCAGGAAGCAAGTGCTAAAGGTAGTTCTTCCTGTAAAGAAAACAACTCGCAGGTGATCTGAAGGTTTAGAAAGACTTTAGGTCAGTACTCTTGCCTATTCTCTGCCCAGGTTCCAAAATCTATCTTTTTTGCATCTCAACACTGCCCTCTTACGGCCAGAACTAGATCTGTACTTCTCTCTCTGACCAGAGGAACCCATTCCACTCCTTGGTCTTCTCATTTATTGGTTTTAACTTTCCCAGTCTCTGTGGCTACAAGAACCAATAAGAGAAGGTTTCTGCTTTCAAAAGGAGTTTGGAAAAAAAAAAAAGGAGTTTGGGGGTATAAAGGTAGATCGGAAAGCATAACTTTACTAAAATGGGGAAGTTAAGCAAAGATTTGAACACACACACAAAAAAAAGAATGCACTCAAGTTAGAGAAGGCTTTCTGCCTTAGAAGACTAAAAGGAAAAGTTATTTAGGTATGACCACTGAAGAACTGACCCCTCCACTTCTATTATTGTTGTAGTTTTGTGCCATCAAGTTGCATGTGAGTCATAGCAACCCTATGTACAACAGCTCTGACTCCAACACATCTACCCCTATTACCCCAGTTATTGTGTCAGTCCATCTTATCTGGGATCTTCCTCTCCTCCGCTGTCCCTCCACCCTTCTGAGCATGATGTCCTTTTCTAAAGACTGCTCCCTTCTGGCCATGTACCCAAAGTTGGAGCTTCAATATCCTAGCCTCAAAGGAGAAACTTGGTTTCACCCTCCCTAAGACAGACCTGTTTGTTCTCTTGTTGGTCCATAGTATGTTCAAGACTCTTCTCTAGCACCACAACTCAAAGGCATAGATCCTTCTCTCATCCTTAGTCATTGTCCCGCTCTCTGATACATAGCCAGTAACTGCAAAGACCATGGTCTGGATCAGGTGCACCTTAGCCTCTAGACTGACATTGTTGCTTTTCAGTATTCTGGAGATGTCCCGGACAGCAGACTTTCCTAATCCATCTTTTGATTTCCTGGCTGCTAGTTCCAAAAGTGTTGATTGTGGACCCAAGCAAGCTGAAGTTGTTAACAATCTCAATCTTTTCTCCATCTATTACGGTGTTGCCAATTGGCCCAATGATGAGTCTCTGCCTTTTGATGCTTAGCTTCAATCCATGAGGCCTCTAAAATTACATTCATTTGTTTGCACATAAATGTACTTCTCCCAAACCTTCCACTCTAGCCAATTCTTCCCTGTCACCTCTGTCCTAACCCTATCCTGAGTCTTCAGTCTATAAGTATTTATTTTACACTCTTCATGGCAGCCACATGCTACATTTTAGAATGATGCTGCCCAATGTTCTAGAATGAAGCACTTGTGGCCTAGTGGCAAGAAGGTGCATTGCAGTCCCAAAGGCATACAATTCAAAACCCACCAGCTGCTCCTTGGGAGCAGGATGGGGAATTTCCTCCAGAGCAATTAACTGCCTCAGAAAACCTGCTGGAGGGTCAGCTATGGGTTGGCTCTGACTCGATGGTACACAAGAATACATTCTAGAAGCCACATATAAAATAGTAAAAAGAAACAAGTGAAATTATTTTAATAATTTATTTAGCCCAATACACCTAAAATAATAATAAATTATATAATTGATCTTTTGTGTAGTTTTTTGCTTTAAAGTCTTTGAGATTCAAGGTACAGTTTATACTGACAGTACATCTCAATTCATAGTCATTTCAAGTGCTCAGTTATGTGGCTGGTAGTTATCATACTGGCATTTTCCTCTTAAACAGATGGGACTCATCAGAATAGGGCATTGTTATATATTTCCTCAAAACTTCTTGCTGAAAACAATTTTGAAAAGAAAAAATGCTTAAGACATTTCCGTAAAGAATGAGAACTCTCTTCATATGTTAATCTGGAAATGAACCTTAAACTGGTTCCAAATTTTCTGCTAAGTCAACTTTTAGAAATCACAGACCCAGTGCCTTGCAGTCAGACATATTTGATCCTGGGTAACTCTACATTGTTCTCTGGCCCAAAGCAGTTTCAGCATCTTCAGAGAGGCCTGGACAAGGCCCTGGTGGTCATCTAGTCCTGTCTTCTGCTTCTGGTGGCACCTCTTGATATTTGGGACTGAGAGGAACTAAATCTATTTGGTGCAACATGATACATCTTGTCTTAGATTCTCTCAAAATTCATTGCCATCGAGTTGGAACTGACTCGCAGCTAATCCTCCAGCAGGTGTTCCACAGGTGTTCCCCACTGGGGAGCCTGCCCATCTTTCTCCCAGAGAGCAGCTGGTTGGAATAGTCCGAGAGGCTTCACCTTTGGGTTAGCAGCGCAACTGCAGCGCAAGTGTCAGAGGTGCCACCCTTGTTACAGCAAAAATCGCATGGGAGTAAAAAACACTGGAAAAAAATGTGGCCGTTAATGAAACATTTCCACAAGCAAGGAAAAAGCCATCTTTAAATTCTGTTTAAAGGGAGATTTCAATCAACGTCATGAAACATGAACTATATTAACTGTTGAATGGAAAACCAATGTGCTGTATGAACGTTCAAATACAATAAAAAGTTAACAAAAAATAGTAAGTCTAAAACATTTTGTTTAGAAGTATAAAAACGAGTATTCCACAGAAGCAGAATTTCAAATCTATAGATGATTTCAGTGGCCTCATATTACAGCCAAGGACCAGAGTTGTCTTGCTTGTTGGTAAGATGCTGTCCAGTCAGAACAGTTATCAGAGCTTCTGCAGGTTTTCAGAGGCTGTAAATTGCCAGAGAGGCGAGTTATGCACTCAAGGACAATGATTAAATCTGGATTGGGACGAGTCTTTTTGCTACTTCCACTGCCTCCATTAGCTGAGAAATAGTCCAGTGGAGGACACAATGCTACTCAGCATCCCCCAACCTCGACAAGCGAACTAGACGCTCTAAATAGGCTCGACTGGGGCGTTTACGGCAGGATTTCCCACCTCCTACAGTCCTTCGCGAAGGGGGCTGAAAGGGCGGACCTTTTGCTAACTCCACACCTTCCAGAGCCGGCCCGGCCCGGCCCAACCCCGCTGCTGAGGCCCAGTCCCTACAGCAGATTCCACTGGGAGGCGGACGGGGACTCCTAGGTGGAGTTCCCTTTTTCACACCGTCGTTCTTTCTCCTAGACTGTTAGGAGGCCAGGGAGGGGGACGTGTCGGAAAGGCACCAGGGTTACAGGTTTGTGTCCCCAAACCAGAAAAGACGCCGTGAATGGGAGTGGGCTTTGGCCGACAGGACGTCTCTGCCAGTCCCAGGCCCACCTTTACTCCTAGCATGCGACCTCCCTTGCGCCAGCCGGGACGGGCCACCCTGTCACCAGTGCTCCCTGGTCTCCAGACCTGGCACTGGCCCTGATTCCGCATGGGGCGCTGGAGAATTTTCCAGCACACCGGCGGCTCCACTAACTCCTCTCGTTTCTGCGCCCGTGAAAGATACGCAAGCGCCTCAGAATTCTGCTAGGCCCAGAGAAGTGCCCAGTGAGGAGGTCCGAGCACGGACCCGAGCAGGCGCCCAGAACGCGCAGCCTCCAGCCCCCCGCACACCGAGAACAGTTTCCGGGGCGGATGCTGGCGGCAGCTGACCTGGCGCGGCCGGTGACGCGAAGGGCGAGGCGGAAGTGCAGGCGGAGGCGCCCGAGCCGGAGCCGGGAACGGGGCTCCGGGGCTCCGGGCTGTGGGGGCTGCTGGGTCTGTCCGCGATGGCAGGCCTGTGGAGAGGCCTCTTTCGCCTTGGTTCCTTGCTCAGTCTGTCCTGCCTGGCGTTCGCCGTTCTGCTCCCCGTGCAGCTGTCAGATGCCGCCAAGGTGAGTCCTGCTCAGCCCCTGCTCCAGACCGCAGCTCCTCCCCTGCCTCCGGCCTTGTGGAAGCCAAGTCGCCCACCTGCTCCCCGAGTCGGCCAGCCTGCTCCTAACTTAGCACTGACAGCTCGACCATAGCTTCACAGTCTTGGCAAAACATCTACCTTTCTGACGGTCTGATAACACCACTTGCGTCTTCCAACCCATACTGTCTGAAGTCAGCACCCGCTCCGAGCTTAATAATAATACTCTTTTCCCTCCTCATAACCTAACCTTTCCAACTCCCCCAGTCCACTAAACCCTACCAGTGGCCCCTAGTCTGAACTGCTACTCCTCCATAGGCATTCCTGTTATAAAGTCCTATAACAGCTTTATAATTCAAACATGGCAACTTTCCCAACTCTTAAGACCAACTATATGTTCCACTCTTAAGCTCTGCCAGCCACCTCTAGATTCTCCTCCTCCCTCTCCCATCCCCAAAGTCCCAAGCCATTTTCGTGGGGAAACTCCATCTCACCCAAGTCTTACGTTTTAAGAAACTGAGTTTCATCATAATTCATCTCTGAGCAGATTTCCCCACCTCATTATAGAAACTTGAAGTTTACCCTCCCAGAAGGACCTACAGAATATCTAGCTTAATTGCCTCACCTCACTCCTTTCAGGAACTCCTATGCCTTGTCTGGTCTTCTTCCTGATAATTTTTTGGGCAAGGGAGAAAAACCAAACTATAGGAGAGGTAATATTAGTCTCTTCTCTTTCCCTGTCTCATACCTTCTAACCCCCTCCTGTGGCTCTGGTTCCCCTGGTGCCCCTAACTGCCAAATATGCTTTGGCCCCTGGGCTTCCTCCATGTTTAAGAATTAATCATAGAACATAGATTTATCATGCATAACTCATTTATTTCAAGATAGTTGTAAGTAAGCTGGTATGCAAATAAGGCCTCATAACATTCATTTAGAACTGGGAAATCAGAATTCACAATAACAATATTAGTTTAATGATTAAGACTCCAAATTTTTAGACTTCAGGCATTTACTTTTACTAAGAGATCTCAGAAGAAAGCTTAACGACAGTTCAAACATGGTGGAGGTCCTTTGTAGTTAAAAATCCGAGGTTGTAGCAGCAGGCATTGTCTCAGCAGTCTCTAGGTGTTTGCCTCTGCTTTCTATCAACAAATAATCAGAAATTCCGAATTCATATGTGAAATTCTCCCCTTAATGTTGCTATTAGGTGCCATTGAGTGTAGTACAACTCCTAGTGACCCTGTGAACATCAGATCTGAACCCTGCCCTATCCAGTGCCATCTTCATCATCTCTGCCACACGAGAACCCACTGTTACAGTCACTAAGTCAGTCCATCTCATTAAGGATCTTCCATTGCTTTGCTGACCCTCCACTTTTCCAAGCATGATGTCTTTCTCAAAGGACTGGCCCATAGCCTTACACAATAAGGGCATCAAAGACTAATTAGTCATGTCATCAGGGGTAGAGATTAATTACTAAATGGCACCTTTTCCTTAAGGTTAGAGACTAGGGAGGTTATTTAGATTTATGTCTCAAGTGTAATTTACAAAGAAAACTGCTTTTAACTGTTGTGTGTGTGTGCGTGCCTGTGTGCACGACTTTATCATATTTCGGGTGAAAGCCAGTTTAATGTATGGATTGTTGCCAGTACTTAAATACTTCACATGTTTCTGTGACTGAGTTCAGAAATTTTAAAATAATTTTCTCATGGCTTTTGTAGTTAATGTTAGAGAGCCTCGCAAAGGTGCCAATATGTTCTTCCCTAAATTTGTATTACGAGTGTCTATATATGTGTATTTTGAAAGTATAATAATGACTTATGCATTATAGGTTATGAGATCATTATAGAAGCATACCAAACTCCTTGATGAGCTAGCTTGTAATTAGGAAAAACAACAAATCCACATAAATGTGATGCTGAAAATTCATTTGTATTTTTTAGAAATAAGAGCTTTAAATACAGAGGTTAAATATATATCTTTGAATAATATGTTGTGGTGGTAATGGTGTTAGGTGCCATCTGGTCGATCACGACTCTGAATATAGTATTCAGGAAAGACAGACTGCAGGAAGGCAGATGTTTTAATCTGGTATTTATTCTTTCTGAAACCTTTCCTTCCTCCAAGCTGACTCAGGCGGCAGCAAGTCCCCCTGACTTTTAGAACATTGCTGATGCCCTCTGAATATCTCCAGTCATCACTTTTTGCAGTGAATTGTGATCATGTCCTTATCGGTCTCCTTCACTAGGGTGTGGCCTAATTAATGGCAGGAACCATGTTTTACTCTATATGAATCCACCTCAAGGAGCACAAAATGTGGCACAAAGCAAGCAGTCCCTAAGTGGTTGTCTAATGAGTTGTCAGCAATTCTGCCAGAACTGCCTATATACCACAGTGCATAGGAGCCCTGATGGCATAATGCATGGAGTATTGAACTGCATATTAAAAGGCCAGCAGTTCGAATTTACCAGCCATTCTGCAAGAGAATGATGAACAGTTTCCCCGTTAAGATTTACAGCCTTACAAACTGATAGTCACTACACGTTGCAGCCAACAGTTGCAGTGGGCTTGGGGGTTGTTTTTCTGTTTATAGGAACAGTAGATCTGATCCTTTGGGAGTTATGAGCCAGGGCCTTCTCAGATACATTCTTTTTGCTGAGCAAGCTTCTCGTACTCTTTCTATCCAGATAAATAGTCACCTCTCCCTCCTCTTGAAACTTGCTTTGTTCTTGTCTTCTTCTCTGTGTGCTATGGATTAAATTGTGTCCCTCAAAAATAGATGTTGTAAATCTTAACGTGTATGCCTATGGATACAATCCCATTTGGGAATAAAGTTTTTTTAGGTTAATGAGGCTGTATCTGCTTAGATGTGTCTTAAACCAATCCCCTTTCAAAAAAGAAAGAGCAGTTAAGATTTGAAGTAAGGGTGCAGAAATGGGGGAAGCATCCAAGGAACAAAAAGTGAAAAAAAGGAAAGACCTTTCCCTAGAACCAACACAGAGAGAAAGCCTTCCTCTAGAGCAGTTGCCCTGAATTGAAGTTCTTAGCCTACTAAACTTAATAACAGGGATTAGAAGGAACTTTTTCAGGAAAGGGTAAACTGTCCTGATCTCAGCTAGAATCAAGGTACTTCCCTATGTACTTCCTTTCTAGTTAACGGTTAGGTGCCTCTTAAAATGTCATCTCAGAACTTTGGCCCAACCCTTTTATATCCATCTCAGTGGCTTTCTACTGAAAGATTTCAGAAAGATGGTGGTTAGAAGAATTAGGACTTGAGAACTGTGCATAGTTTTCAGTTTGATTCTTTTCCCATGTCTTTGTAATTAGCATTCTTATTTACAGGTACAATTGTATGCTTGATGTGTGTTATTCTACTGTAAGATAGAATGTGCTAACAATATTTACTTGCCATCAAAATGGTTAATAAGTCACAGATCATTTATACAATATTTGAAAATCATACATACTGATTCATGTTAGTATCACCAGAAAGGGTAATATTTCTTTAAGACGTGTGTTTTTCAAAATTATTTTAAGTTTTAATGGATTGATTTTAGAATATTTAGCAAGCAATGCTTAGCAAAATGTATATAGTGCAGTTTTTAAATAAAATATTGATAAATTGTCAATAAACTATACTGAGTTTCCATTTTGGTTACAGAATTTCGAGGATGTCCGGTGTAAATGTATTTGTCCTCCCTATAAAGATAATTCTGGGCATATTTATAATAAGAACATATCCCAGAAAGACTGGTAAGTATTCTAGTTTATTAAATTTTTTTTACATTTTTTTTTAAATTTTAATGATTTTTGTGTGAGTGTACCGTCAAATCAGATCTGACTGGTACAGGAGGAAATTGTCCCTCCTTCCCCGGCTGAGCATCTGGTGGATTCAAACCGTGCGCCTCTGGGATTGTAGTTGCAGGTCCTTGCCACTAGGCCACCAGAGCTCCCCTTCTAGTTTATTAAATTATCTGCCAGACATCTTATGCTTGTTTAGTTGGACTTGAATTTTCATCTAGTATATAGAACACTATTTTTAAAAACAGTAAAATGCTTTTTACAGTGAGAGTCATAATGTGCTTGCATGATTTCAACTTCAAGGAATAAAGCCGAAACATTAAGTCCCATGTAAGGAGGGTTTCATATAGGGATAAAGCTGAGTTAGTGGCATCTAAAATACCAATGAGAAAGTTCTGGTGGCTTTGTGTTCAGGAGTTGCACTGACCACCCAAAGGCACAAAGTTCAAATTCCCCAGCTGCTCCATGGGAAAAAGATAGGCAGTCTCCTCCCATCTGATTTACTACCTCTGAAAATCCATTTGCGTGTCAGCTATGGGTTGTTTTCAACTCAACGGTACATAACAACAACATAATCCCAATAACTACATTTGTGTGCTCTCCCACCTCCACCACAGCTTCACACACACCAAATTTTGGAAAGGAACTTTTCTCTTTGTTTTTCATTGAAAGTAAACAAGCCTCATTTATCTGGGTACACTTTCTACAACTTTGTAGGTTTTGAGTAAAATTCTAACTATGGAAGGCTATATTAAAAGTGCCAAATAGTTTAGAATGGGAAGTGAATGAGCCACATGTATTAACATTTCCCAATTGGTGTGCCATGAATAGGGTGTACATATGCTGAGATATTAATCTCTTTAGTCCTTGGAGCCATTAAGCCTATGATGAATGAGATCCTGACACACCAGTAGCCTTTACTCTTTACTACCGTATCTTACAGATTCTTAAACTTTTTGT